CTGTTTTCTCTTTCATTTTGAGTTCCCGCAGTGAACAACACCAGCTACGGGAAGAGGCAGAAAATCCAAGCTGCTATCATTCGCTATCATTTGTTGAAGCAACATGGCTTCAACTCTTAGCTTTGGAGGCACTTGCTTTGATTTCTAATCACAGAAAGAATAACCACTCTTACACAGACCTCCACTTGAATTGAGTGACCCAACCTTGCAGAGACATGAATTGTCACCGAAATCAATGAAGCCAGTAAGCTTAAGCCTTGAGACGAAGCAACATTGCATGTCTTGAAAAACTATACCAAAATGTTTAGCCTGACAAGACTTTGAATGACAGCTGTAGGAAAACCAGGTAACATAGACTTCACGCGTACCAATAATTTGATCAAAACCCAAACAAATGTATACAGTGGATTGTGCATAGCTGGATGATGAGCTAAGCCAGCAATCAACAGACACAAAGAAGTCACAACTGCCTTATTTTCTTTACCTGTCATGCAGTCTATCAGTTTCCTCCCTGCTCTTGTAGGAAATGACAATATCAGGAAAAGAGCCTGGAACTGCTTTCACATTGCTCGTCCCAATCTTTCTACACGCCAGTCAAGGCCCATGCCTGCTCACCTCTGCACCAGAAACTGCAAGGCTGCATGCAAGCAGTGGGGAAAGGAGACTGTAAAAATTTAAGAAGTTGTTTCTGTGGTTTTTGCTGGGAGGCACTGCTAAGGAAGTGCAAGGTGTTGATGGGGTAAGAAAAGGGCTCTGAGATTCCTCTCTCCCTTACTAAGCAGAGAATTATTAAACAGCACAGGAAGGATCTTGCCTAGCTGCCTTCCTCCACAAGCTTGCCAACAAAGCCAGGACCCTTGCTAGTGCCCTGTATGTAGGCAGAGGAGCTTTGTAGAGCAAACGTAGTGCTCAAGAGTTACGCATCTCATGGACTTCACTGTGGCTCCTAGTGGCTGCCTCCATTGTTTGTGGGATATTCCCCCCCCTCCTTCTAACAAAGGTTCTGATTAATGATCGCTCATTCCTAATTGTCAAATTTCTTTTCCTTCATCCTGTGTCTAATCACCAGTGACAGAAGCCATTACGCAAATGAGAGCAGACGACTTCCCACAACTGTTCTCGTTGGTAAAAGCCTTGTAATTTAAAGCTCTGATATGCAGAGGAAAGCTGCGTTTCCCCAAGGCGTCCAGGCATCTGTTCCACTTACACTCCAAGAGCCTCAACTTCCGCTCCCTCCCCCCACAATTAGTCCTCTGCTTGCAACAAATATTTGACTTTGCAAGGCAGTAATTAGAACTTACTTTGCATGTGTTTTTCACAGTAACAGCATCTCTTCCCCTTTCCTTCTAGGCAGCATCAATGCAGAAAAGAACCCAGGGAAGATGGTGACTTCATGACTTCCCAGAACATTGACAGGAGAGGTGCCTTTGAAAGAGGAGCTGAAGATGAAGACCATAAACCACAGTGCAGGGAAGCTACTCACACACACATGGCAGAAGGGAGACTTAGAGAAAAGCACTTTGAAAAAAACACACATGCAAAGGAAAGTACTCCAGTGCAGTTGCTGCTCTGCTTCTAGGGCTGGGACAGCAGCATGAGTTGACCACGCATCACCACAGAGGCTTGCCAAGCCACCGTCAAGACCCTGAATGCACCATCCCCATTCTAGGGCTTTAAAGAGCAATTGGCTGTGTTCAAGGTCAGCATGCTTGTTAATAAGAACTGTTGCAAAGAAAAAAAAGCAGCAGTCCCAGCCCAGTCCTGCCCCTCTTAAAGAGCTGCTTTGACGCTGAGGATTACCCCCTTCATCCCCACTGGTATTAGACTGCCCCTGCACTGCAGGTATCTCATACCTCCTTACCCTGGCCCCAATCCTGACCTGCTGGCTTCACCTTGGACCTGTTTTATCACCCTCTATTTCCTGCATGGTCACTGAACTGCACCCAACCTGGATCACCAAGGGGGTAAAGCAGTGGATCAGTCTAAAAATCTCATGCCCGTTCCATGGGAAAAATCGTGCAGCCATGACCTACAAAGATTAAGAGAAAAGGTTACTTCTCCTCAGAAAAACAATCAAGGAACAGGGAAATGGGGGAAACAAAAGAAGAAAGGTATTACAGGGTCTAAGGCAATAAAAGCAAAAAAGACTAAAACTACAAGCAAAAAGCTCTTAAGTCTGATCTAGTGTTCAGACTACACAGTTCTCATCCCTCAGCTTCCTCTGCTTCTCTGTGCGACCAGAGACATTTCAGAGCTTTGCGGTGCCAGCTGTGCACGTTACCCAACAGGCACAGGCCCAACACGCACACAGAGGATCAGATGGAACAGACCACTAAGTTCAGTGGAACTGAAGCAAGTGTGTGTTCAGAGATGACGATCCCAGCAGGCATCGGCAAACACTCATCATCACAGAAGACTTTAGCCACTTGTCTTTCCTACTCCTTCCACATTTGCTCTGCCCCTCCAGGGCATGAGAAAAGAACGCCAATCATGGTACCTCAGGCTCAGAAATCCCATGTTTCTCTCTCCACCCACCATCCCTAATCCCTATTCAACTCTTCCCATTTTACTACACATCAGAAATTTGTTCCGATTTCAACATTTCACTGATGGTTCAATGCCAAGATTGCTGTAGAATTAATATTGCCTTAAAGTATCCTGACTCTTTGACTAGGTGGAGAGGACTCCACCATCCAAGGCTGCCAACATACAGCAGAAGTAGACAAAGGAAGCCTCCCCCCAAATTATCCTTGACCAAAGTATGAAACGGATAGAGGACCAAATGGAGGACAACATATCCCAAAGGATAAGCAACTCTTAGAACGCCCTAGATTCAATAGTGTAGTTTGCTCCATCATCCCATCGGTGACCAGAGTATGGTGACACTATTCAGAGAGGGGAATTTTCTTCCTCCCCATCAACAGTTGCTGTTGACAGAGTTCAAGGATACCATCTTACTCCCAGCTTTCCTTTCAGGCTTATGGAAGAAGTATGGGGAAAGTTGTGAAGACACACAACAACGCAGTCGATATTGCTGTTTTGAAGGCAGTTCTGGAGACCAGCAGCTTTCACCAGTGAAGAACACGAGTGGAGTTATTAAGAAGACAAAGGTAGTTTTATACACACATTTCCTTATACAGCTCTCCTATACAGCCATTCACAAAATAAAAGCCACACAGTACTGTTGTTCAACATTGGTTGTATTTAAGAACTACACTTCAGAAGGTACCGTGTGTTTGTCACACCCCACCCCCTGCACACACACCCCTAGCAGAGAACACACACAGCTTCCCAATACCATGGCAAGGGGCACTGAAAGCACAAGGTGAAAAAGGAAGGGGGGGAGTCAGTCCATCAGTGCATTGTAAATGAGCTTTCACAAAGTCAAGTGCAGCAAAATCTGTTCAGACACTTTAAAAGTTAGACCTTTGGCAAATAAAGAAAAAAAAAAGAATCCTAAAATTCTCTAAGTACCATTCTCTCTCCACATGGGATATGAACTCCCACCCTGAGCTTCGGGAGTTGATGGTGTCTAACAAATAGTACTGGAGACTACTATGTGCTGAATAAACAGCACAGAGTTGGTATTTCATTTGAGCATCTTTCAACCAAGGGCATGCGCCCAGGATTCCTGGGAAGGCCTTGGTTTTGGCAGCTTAGCCTCCTTCCTCACCTGCCTGAAGGCTGAACATTGACAAGTATCCAGCTGAGTGACCTTCGTCTGGACTTAACCACAGCTCTGGAGTCTGCAACAAGTAACATGGCAGTCAGACTACTCAGTGACAGACCTACTTCTTAAACAAGCACCTTGCAGTTGCCAATTATACTTCATTTGCTCTGACCTGTCAAGCAGTCAGAAAACCGGCCCCTGGAACCTCCTGTTTGAGAAGCCTTTCACCTTTGTACAAGACAAGCTCACTGCAAGTAGTGCCTGAGCTGTCTCAGCAAAAGATAGGACCTAAGGGCAAAGATGGAACACTTCTTGAACACCATGTTCTCAACACCTTTATCAGAATCCTATGTCAGAACAAGCCCCAAAGTACAACAGGGGAAACAATGGGAAGTCTCAACAGAACAAATTCCCCACTATTCTCTGGGATGAGATATATGGGCTATGAAACAGCTTCCACCAACCTCTAGCTCTTGGGACCTATTACAACCACATCAAATACACAAGACCTTTGGCACGAGCCCCAAACCAGGGACAGCAGTGCAGCACACCTCGGGGAATAAAAAGCCAGCCTTCATAGGAGCCTAAGGCTTTCGCATGGAAGAGGAGGAGAAAAGCAAAATGATTTTTCAGGGTGATTGCTGAGAACTCTGAAACAGAGGCTTGTTGGGTTTCTGTGCCCTGGTCTTGTCACTTCCCAACCTGCCACATCAAGTCCTAGAACACAAAAAAGGTCAAGATAAACTTAATCACATTTAAACTGAAAGCCCTGACCTCTTTCACTGTACAACGAAGGGAACCACACTGGCATGGATTTAACTGATGGATAGGAGCCACACGACATCACACAAACATGCGCACCTGTGCGCAGCCACACACACTTGAGTTCTTGCAGTTTAAGTAGAAAGGGCACTTTCCCGTGGTTAGTCTGAGAAGCCAGCACTCCTGATGGGAAAAAGCTAGGCTCTGTACCTATCTGACACTGCATTTTGACAGTCTAGCTCGGCACCCCTGGGGAATTTTATTTAAAAACGTGGCTTAATTGTTCAAGACTTGGAGAGTGCCCTGGCATTTATCTGTATCTCCATAACACTACATACCCTTTTAACCACACTGCAGTTTCCAAAGAGCAGGAGAGAAGCCTTCACTCTCCAGGGAAAGCTGTCAGAAATGAGGTTTACCTAGACTCCTATAACACATATGCTATCCGGAGAGCATAGGATTTGGTGCTCACACACTAGATGAATTTGCTCTGATCTCTACCCTGTACTAAGTCCAAAGGACAGATGTCTTAAGTTGAAGAGACTGAATCATTTGTCCTGTTGCTCATCACACACAGGCCATCTCACATGTTTGATTCCGTTATACAAAAAAAGGTGCCAGATTTGAGCATGGACAGGTCCTCTAGTAACAGAGGACTGTGAGACCCATCACTTCCCATCTTATATCCACCTGCAAGCACCAACACAAACCCAGCTGGAAGGTCCAAACCCCACAAGGCTGAGGGAACAAGGTAACTCCTGGTTCTCCTCCAAGCTCTTCTTCAAATGCCTGAAAATCTTGAAGCAACACATCCGAGTACCAAATGCCACACTCCTTGTTGTGGCAAACAGGGCAGAGGGAAAAAACAAAAAGTTAGTGAGCATGAATCCAGCTTCCAGTAAGTGCAGACTCTTTCTTGGGAGGTTCCGTTAGGTGAGAGTGGAGGATGAATGGGGTACTAACGGTTTTGCAGTTCCAGTGGCCCCCCTTATTGTAGTGGGGCAGAGATGGGCCAGGAAACCCATCAGTCTGTTAAGTGCCGCGTGCAATACTAGCGTTCAGTATCTTCCATTGCTTGTGAACAAAGCAGCTCCAACATCAGTCACCCAGGGCAGCCAGGCATTAGTCATACCGTCCCTTAATCATCATATTCAACAAGGGACCCACCTGTTTAAAGCAAAGACAGATCGTTAGCGGGGACAGCTACAAAGAAATGGTAGCCTGTAGAGGCTGCTCCCTCTGCATCTCACCACTTCACGAGTGGTCCAGGGCAGAGGATCTCAGTGCACAAATTGAGCCTAAGGCTTTGAAACCAGTTTGGTACTGCAGGGTTCTCTGCCAACACCCAGCTTCAGTTGTCAGTAAATGCTGCAGGATACTTGTTCGAGACTTTTTCACTTCCCACCCTAGACTTGCAATTTCTCAGTATACGCTCTTAAAAGGAGCCGATAGTTGCCATGGGGTGCTTTTTGCAGGGCAGAGAACTCACAGCAATGCACTAAGGAGTTCACACACAGTGCTAAAGGTTAGACACCAAAAAAACATTTCTGTTGACATTCAGTATTTCCACTTTCAGATCAAGAGATCTTCAAAAACATACTCTTAGTATTCCAATCTGTTTTCTTTGAAATACCAGTTGATTAAAATTGCAAAGAATTCAGAGATGACCAAGACACACATTAAGGGGAAAGCACATGACTTCATAGAAGAGATTTAAGAGAATGTGGATTCAACAAGTAAATTTTTTTTTTTTTTGCAAATACAAGGTACTGTTGCTGCACAGAAGGTTAATGAGAGTTTAGAAGCAACACTTTTCCGGCAGTGCCCAAAGCTGAAGTGCACCTCCCCACACATACAAGAACAAATTATTCCATTGTTTGTAGTGGTCCTCTCCAGAACTATAATTTAAAGAGCTTGCCTTTTTGCATCCAAAGGACCTTCTGAAGACAGCAGGAAGAACCATTCACAGCAACAGAGCAATCCTGCTTTCTCCTAACCTCCCTGCGACACCTGCAGAGCCAAATAAGTTGGCATCTCGAGTTTTGCATTAATCCATAATGATTTCAACAGCAGTGACTGTATCATTCTTTTTTGTACCTCTTGTGGATTTCCTAAGGCTTCTCCCAACATCTTCTCAATGTTCCTCATTATAGCCACTTTCTGATGAGCCTTTAATGGATATTCGATTCTCTTTGGGGTTGGGGCACCCTGAAATATCAAAAATAATAGTTAATTCATTGGCATGAATTGCCAGATTATATTATCTTCTCCCAGCCACCCAGTTCTTCACACGCTACTCAAAAGGGACACAGTAGCTTTCAGCTTTAAAGTAAAGGATTTGGTGCAATGAGATTCTCATGCTGACAGCAAGCGCAAGTAGTTCTCTACCTGAAAAATTTCTCTGGAACAGAGCTATCCAAGCTGCACAGGAAGGTGCTTGTACTCACCTTGTACCAGAAGTTCACAGTGATGGTAATTCCCCCATTCAGGAGAGACTCAATGTGGTGCCACCTGCACGGAAACCACACACGAAAGAAAGAAAATGTTGCTGTAGGTTATAGTCAAGCACCTTGGACGGATGAGTTCAGACAGCACTAAACAAGCCTTGCCCTCTATCTCCACCATCAAGACCTCAGAACTTCTGGAAAGCTTTCCTTATTTAAATACAGATTTTATCACACCTGTTACTGGAGTACTTGCACAATATCAGTGTCAAGAAGAATTACCACTCCCATCCAACAGATAGGAAGTAGAAGCAGATCAGCCCAAAATATAAGAAAAAAATATTATACTTGCTGGAAAACTCAGAAGAAAATTCTCTTAAGAGCCAAACCAACACTTTAAGCAGAAGACCTTTCAAATCTCTGTTTGCTGGTCACTGTGCAGTCCCACCAGCCTTCTTACCAGTACATGGGTATGTACAGCACATCCCCTGGACCCACCACTGTCTCATAGCCAACCACGCTCCGGAAGTTTGGAAACTTCTCATAGTCAGGATTGTCAAAGTCCACCTAACAGAAGAAAACATGAAGAATCTCAGAGCTTCCTGCAATGACAGTTCTCATTACTGGCTCTTAGTATTAAGTCATCCTGATGTTCCCTATCTGGGTTTTACATCCCTATTCATGCCTTAACTCCACTGCGAGGCCCTGCAGTACCCCTGAAGTCCCACCAACACGGATACTCTCTAAGCAAATCTGTTTGATGAAGAGAACAGTGAAACAGAACAGAGAAGGCAGAAAATGAAGCCCACATGTGCTACCAGGAAGGAGATGTTTATCACCCTAGCAGTTGCAAGTCAGGACCAGGCACAAAGAGAAACACCACCAGTCCCTCCATGTATTCTCAATGTATTCACCAGTTAACAGCTCTGAACACAGGTTTTGCAAAAGCTTGGCAGGTGGCATGCAGCTTTAACTCCAGCGCAGCTTGCTCCCACCTAGCACCTTCGCAAATGCCGTTTTTGGGAATGGAGCAGAGAAGGGATCTGCCACTCTCACCTGGCTCTGTCTGTCACACGGATGGTGCACAGGATAAGGGTAGAGGCATTCAAACTGATCAGGAGGGAACAGGATACACCTCTTGTAACCCTTAATCTGAGCAAAGAAGTTCTGCTGCTCATCATAATGAGCTGGTGTCACATTCCCTACAGAGAGAGAAAACATGATAATCAAGATTTTGTGTCCAGGTAGGAAAGACAGAAGCAATTTATAGCCCTTGCTAAAGACAGTAAATACACTCCCACATATTCAGAAAATTAAAGGAAAATGACTACAGGAACATTACATACTGATCACTGGATCCATCAGCTTTTATTGAGCAGTTGCTACTCTACTTAATTTCCATTCTAAATCCATATTCAGCAACTTATGCTCTACAGGATTAGGATTTCCAGCTTGTTTCCATGAACAACAGATGGTAGAAACACCTACTGTCAGAACTGAACAGGTAATTCTACTCAAATGTGACAGTCACACTGATTACAGGTCATCCCACTTCACAAAACTGTGAACGTTCCTTGCCCAGTTACTGAGATTACTTTCTACTAAAATGCTCTTCTTGTAGTAGTACCTCTGTCTTTTAAGGTACCTGCCTACAAGTCAGTCTCCATGTGGATTTGGAAGACCACTCTATGAAGATATTGTTAAGATTTAACCACCTTCAACTTCTCCAGCACCCTCTAACCTCCCAAGAAGAAATTTGTCTCTTAATTGAAGGAGAATTCCTCCCTGCAGCATACCAGCTCAAATAAGAACAAATGCTTCACAGAATAATCAAAATTTCTTCCTGAATAGGCAATGGACGTGTTAAGAAAAGCCCAGAAGGTTAACTTTGCTCAACTTGCAAATTGATTTACATTTTAAATCTGCAGACTCCATGCAATTTCGATCTACAGCATCTGAAGCACTCAAACAACAAACGGGTCTCTTTACACAATTTTCAGTTACTAAAAACAGAGATCTACCAGCATCACACAGAGTCTTTCTATGAACAGAAGATCACCTCCAGGCATTCACAGTACATCTCTGGGGACACACAGGCTATTCCTGTGCTTGCTTCCTCTCTCTAACCCAAGTTAACTTGTAACAACAGTTCCGTCCCAATCCAAAGCTTTAAACTACCTGCTCTAAAGGAACACTTAGAAACAAGTGGAAAATCAATTTGTGTCAGGGGTTAAGGCTGGGATGGCCACCAAACAAATGACAGATACTCTCTATTAGCTCTTCTCCCTTCTCAGAAGAACGGGAAGGAAAAGGGAATGAGGAAAAGGCACATAAAGTCTAAAAAAACAGAACAAAATCATAAAACTTTAGAACAGTAACAAAAAAGATAAAATACAATAACATTAATAAGAAAATTAAATATACACAAATAGATACAAACTAGTATCAAACTTTCCCTCCATTCCATACGGAATGGAATGCTTTGTTGGTCAGGTTTGGGTCACCTCTCTGTCCACTCCTCCTTGGAAGTGCAACCTTTATTTACTTACAACCCTTTCATTTATGGCACTCTATTTAGCACACAAGACTTAACGGTGACCTTGGTTTCTATATAGTAGCAAGTATAAACAAGAGCCATTCTGCATACCAGTCTAGTACACCAGGTAGTAACTGTAAACACCAGGCTTTATCACTTCTAGAAGCAGACATCATCTGCAAAAACCTGCTGTTAACTTCAGAAAGTGCAGCCTCTTAGAAGTGACTGAACTGAAGAGAAAAGTCATTGAACAAAGAATTGGTTCTGTTCTAGCTCACACCAGGACAATCTGAACAACCTCCTGGAACTGAAATACCGAAGTGCTGACCAAATCTTCTGCCCTTCTTGCCCAGTCAGAGCAAACTGCTTACCTTCCATACCAATAAGAAGCAAGTTTGAAGTCAGTTGACCCCAGCCACGTTTCCCTTGCTGCTTGTTAATCCAATTCCAATTGAAACCAAGGAAATCCACCACGATCTTCCTTCCAACTGTATCATTCAGTGTTTGCTGCAGATATAGCCTGTGTTTTCCAGAGACAAGCAGAAAGCAAGTATTAAACTTTGTCATGAACATGAAGACATGTCTCTACATCTCTTCAGAAAGATTTCAAAACAAAGAGAAAACTCCTAGAGATTCTATTTCATCACCACCCACAACAATCACCTTTGGAAGGAAACAATTTCAAAAACTCCCCAAACTTTACTGAAATATTTTCTGGTATAGAAAGGAACAAAACTCAGTTCTGCTTGAATGAAAGGAAAGAGAATTTTAGAGCAAGAACAACCCCCTCACAGTGCAGGAGTAGGAAATTGTAAACAGACTGGCCACTATCAAGTGTCAAACACAGTTGTGAATAATCCCCAGATAGGTTAGAGTGGTGGCATTTATCTGCAATAAGAATTACCTCTTATACTAGACATGTGTGAAAAAAAGGGCAAAAAAGGGCTCAGGAAACTCATCACATTTCCATAGCAAGTTATTTAAAGCCACACTCACATATAGAGATACAGAATCATAGGAATCAAACATTTGTATTAATAAGGGCAGTATTAAAGACTAACTTCCGCAATGCTAGGAGGAAAGTGCATTTTTGAGCTCTCAGACCATGTTCTCTCTTGGAAAAAAGCACACCCAAAGCTGAGAAAGAAGAGAAAGGCACATGGACACAGAGTTGCTTCCAATTAAGATGCAACTAAGCATCCATAAGTCCTTTTAAAGGGCTGGTGACTGATAAAGTCAACTGAGATTTTACCTACAGTTGCTAACAGTTATTCTCTGTATAGGTGTGAAGCTCCCCTCAGTAAACCACAGCTCCATTAGTGGTATAGGCCATCACCATCAACAAAAACACAGCATGTACGCAACCTTCACCCTCGTTTAGAAAGATGGGAAAACACCAGCTGCCTTTATTCTGTAAAAAAGTCTGAGTGTCATAGCCTGTACTTTTTCATCGGATAAATAAGCTCTCTACCAATACCACAGTCTGCCAGAAGAATGCAAAGCTTAAGGCATTCTCTATCCAAATCCTGCCTCGGAGAAGGAAAAAAGCTCCAAAGATAGCGTGAACAGTTTGATTAACTAACGGCATGACTTTTTTAATCAGGTAACAAGACTGCTCTCAACCAGCAGCCCTGCAGGAAAAGCAGGGCTACAAAAAAAAATAAAAAAGGCTTGAGCAGTTTTAATCATCACCATTCACTGATGAGAGACATATCCCCTACTTAGATCTACAGAAACAGAGAAACGTCCACACATCACTTACCTCTCAGCACTCCCTTTTTGTTGTATTTCCTTGAGTCTGTCCACAAACTCAGCAAACTTCATCTCTTCCCTGCTTGACTTGGGTTTGAAGTTCTTAAAATTCGCCATCTTCTTCTCATCATAGTACAAAAACTTGTGTGTGCTAGCACTATACACCGAGAAGTCCCCATTGCCAATGTTTTCCTGGAGGTAGTCCAGGTCCCATTTCAGAGCAGGATAAACCAGATTCGTATCTGTCAGCACCACCGGCTCCTGGTGAGAAACAGGAAGTTTATCGATTCAATGTCCTCCTGAACCAGAGAATGATCACATTCATTATTGCAACCACACAAACTCTCAATGAAAATGAGGAATTGGAAAAGGCATTTAGAGTAATCGGATACCTTGGTGTGGTGAGGAAAGCAAGCAAAACATGACAGGATGTTTTAAGAAAGTAGTAGCCTGTTCCCACAGCAAGATCCTGGTAGCAATGGGGCAGATTCTACTATCTATTTTGCTAATCTCTAACACATGAGGCTAAACAAACAAACACTAGCTGGGAACAACTGTAGGTCTACTTGGTCCTGCCACGTAGCAAGGAGACACAGTAGCTTGTCTGGTCGCTTCCAGCCTCAGCTATGAGGGGATAAATGCTGGTAGAAAGATACCTCTAAACCCAGAAACAGAGAGAACACTCATCTCTTCTCTCAGAGGATTGCAGGTAACCTTGAGCCATCAAAAACCCTGACATTACTCCCATCTCTTCTGCACCCAGAACAGAACCACTACAAAAGGAAGATAACCGACATCACCTATCTCCTCAGCTACAAACAGTAAGCACCTAAACAAGAATGGCAACTGCTGTGTTTCCAAGCTGTGCAAGCACAACTTCCCTTTCTGTAGTTCTTCTTAAAAAAAAATCAAATCAAAACAAAAAACAACGAGCAATCTTACCAACAAGAGATCGAGCCGGTCCAGAACCTATACAAGAGCTAACACCTCATGGCAACCTTCACATCTGTGGTTGCTCTCACTTAGAAAACAACGAACATGTATCTATAGTTCTACACATTTCCTCGATTTCCATGTATACAGCAAAGCATTTAACATGCACGTTTCCCGAGAGTTTCACAAGTCAGCCCTGCGGCACCGAGAACTCCCCGCTACACCGCAGATGTTCGGGACAGCGTCAACAGCCCGGCCTGCGTGGGCTAGGGCAGGGCGGGGGCTCCGGAGCGGAGAGCGGGACAGAGCCGGGGTGGGGAGGGGAGAGCACCAGGAACGACA